CCCAAAAGTGACACCATAATTTTCTTTTAAATTTCAACTTCATTGAACATATACAATTGTAAGGTATTTATTTTAATTTATTTATTTTGGGAGAGAGAGTGAGCATGGGAGGGGCAGAGAGAGAGAGAGTGCATGAGTGGGAGAGAGAGGATCTTAAAGCCGGCTCTGTGGTGTCACCTCAGAGCCTGATGTGCGATTTGAACTCATGAACTGTGAGATCATGACCTGAGCTGAGATCAAGAGTCAGACGCCTAACCAACTGAGCCACCCAGGTGCCTCAACACTGTAAGATATTTGAAGTGTACCTTGTAGTGATCATATATATATGATCATATATAGGTGAAGATGTAGGGATTTTAATATATTTAATATCTAGAGGGCTGATTCCTCCCCATTTTGAGACACATTTTTAAAGTGACCCCATTTTTTAAAAATTTCAGCTTTATTGAGGCATAATCAGCATATAAAATTGGAAGATATTTCAAGCGTACGTTGTGGTTGTATATAAGCGATGAATCATGGGACTCTACCCCCAAGACCAGAGCACGTCATATACAGTGTATGTCAGCTAACTTGACAATAAACTACATATATATTAAAAAAGTACATTGTAGTGATTATACGATCATTTATATGTAAAATGTGAGGATTCCCTCCATCTAGTTAATTAACATATATCACCATATATGTGTATACATATACATATGATATTTGGTAAGAAGATTTAAGTTCTTTCTTAGCAAATTTCAGGTATATGATACAGTGTCCTCAACTACCATGTGATATTCAGTCTTCAGTCACACATAAGATCCTAAGACCCTGTTCATCTTACAGTTGAGTATTTGTACCCTTTTACCAACCTGCCCCTCTTTACCTTACCCGTCAGCCTCTGGCAGCCATTTTTTCCACCGTCTCTATGAGTTTGGCTTTTTTTTTTTTTTTTTTTTTTAAGAGTCCGCATATAAGTGATGCCGTGTGGTATTTATCTTTCTTGTGAGATTAGAATTTGTTTTCCATTAACATTTTTATAATAACTTACGTCATGTACATTCCTATAACTTCTTTTTTATCCTAGTTCAGAAAGTGTTGAATTTTAAACTAAGGAGATCAGAGTCCGTCCAAGATGTTGGGTGGAGGGGTTTCCCAGAATTGTCACCTAACATGCTTTGCCTGACAAGTAAAATCTGATGAAAGAGAACATCCTTAGACAGAGATGCTGAAGTGGGAGATGCCTAGCGTGCACTTGGACCATATAGGGAGAGGAGCTCTGTGGGTAGAGGAAGAAACTGTCCTTAACACCTGGAGCATGCATATGTTGACGTTAATGGAGGATACGCTGATATTTCAAAGGTCCTATGGTTTTTACAGTCTGGATGAAATGTAGTTCCTCTGTACAAGAAATAGAATTTGCAGAAGTTCAACCAGTGAGGGAAAGCACATGGTTTCCCTCGTTTCCTGGGCTGACCATAGTTTATGAAAATGAATTTCCAAGTATCTTTTCTGCGCATTGGGGCTCCTTGGCAAAACATGAAGTCTGTATAATGCATTACCTCTGAGCTGTTTCTTAAAGGGCTCACGGACAGACATATGGATAATGGCTTAAAAATATAAATACAGTCTTTCCAGTCATAGAAATCTTCCGATCCAAGAGGTACTTTCCCCACTTTCCAAAAAATGTAGGGCTATATACCCACACTCCTAGATACCAAGACAAAATACATGGTATCTGACGCTAAAAAAATCTCCACTGTACTTTTCTCAAGCTTTTCAGCCCTGTGATCAGACAGAGTGACTTACAGTCACATCTAGATGCCAACTTACTGTGCCACCTTCCAGCCACCAAGCCCTATAACTAAGCACTTTTGTTTGGTAAAATTACAGAAGAGATGCTATTTGGTACGATATGCTGTTCTATTTTAGTAACTGCAGTTCATCTAGGAAAATGGCTGGCACTTGGTTTCCACGCATACTTCTTCCACACTTGTCTGTCTGTGTTTGTGTGTGCGTTTAGGGGAAGTGCACACTTACGGTGTTGTCGTAGAAACAATGAAACACCCCTGCTCCCGAAGAGACTCGTTCTCATCTTCAGCAGTCTATTTGTGACCACCCTGGGATATGTGACACTTTCTGGTTTATGGACACCTACAGGCGGCAATTCAGAATTTATGAAGGTTCTGGTAGGAAAGGCCACTGCCAACAGAGGATTAGTTTGGACAGAGTTCCGTCTAAACTGATCTGCCGCCGCCTTTCACCCAGCGTGCGAATGTGTACCAGGCTAGTCTCGCTCCGACAGGAGCCGGACAGTAATAATACGGATTGCAGATCTAATTTGCATAATCAAAATGTTCACTCATTAATAGAGTGCGAGATGTCATTCATGGAGATCACTACATTTTTATGAAGTGGAAAATTGTGGAATCCTTGCTAACTCTTTCTTGGGAAAATGTAAGCCCTTCAAAGCCAAAGACTATTTTTACTCATCTTTATATTCCCCGCACAGCGTCTGGTGCAGAAGAGACACTTAATGCTTTTTGAATGAACAAGTGGGTGAATGAGACTCATTCCTTAGAAAGATTGTTTGAAATGAAGAGATTAAAATGTTTCCTGGAAATACAAAAAGTGCACTCACTCCCATGCTTACTGCTCCGCTCCGATTGAGAAAGAAATTGATTTTTTGCCCTCTATTTTTAGAAATCCAGCCGCTTAAAAATTACCCTCTTCAGTAAAAAAAAAAAAAAATGTACAGGCATTTTTAATGCCACATTAGTTTCGATGTGATTTCTGAAGAGCAGTCTCTTGAGTCCAGGAAAAAACAAGATATCTGTTAGTGGCCCCGAGCACTGTTGTCAAGTAGTTTAAAGAAATACACATGACCTCTTCTGTCCGGTGTGCACAGGTATGATGTCGGGGGTGTGGGGGTGGGGGGGAGCTGGTGTAGAATGTTCCAGTGCCAGGGTGTCCCTTAGTCTACATTCATTGAAACAGGAGCAGAAAAACCTTTCCTTTCATAGAATATTATTTTTCATTTATCAGCATTTTTTCTGGACTCATAATTGTGCCTGAATTACCTGTCTGAGAAGGTGCACGTGTGATGCTTATCTGGGATCCTCCTCATATAAATGGGTTTTGTGTTTATTTAGGAGGCTGCATAATTCTGTTTGCCTCGTTAGTGCTATAACTAGGAATTCGCCATTCATATTCTTCTTCCGTACCAATAGTCTTGTTGAATGTATTTTCTCAGTGTGAGAATCATAGAAATTTATTAGTTTGGCTTTTGGCCTCCATACCTTATTTACAGCCATGCACTTTGAGCTTATGAGTCGGTTCCTTAGAGTCTCTTCTCCTCCAGAGATCTTTAATCAAGTAGGCAAAAGTGGTTTTGAAATCTTTACTGCATGGGTGCAAATGGAATCACAAAGCCTCCCTCCCCTCAATTTTTAATCCCTTTGTGAAGAGTAGGGATAAAGGGCCGCACAGAACATTTTAGAGTATTGTGGCTCAATTAGCTATGGCCAGGAGAGAGCAAACAAAGGAGAATTTAGGAACAAATCGTAGAATGCCACCAGGGCTGATACCACCTTTGAGATGCACCGTTCAAAAGGGAAATTGTGTATTTTTATGTTGCCATAATGATGACCTGTTTTAAATAACACCCCCATGGGGCGTGTGGGTGACTCAGTCGGTTCAGCATCTGACTTGAGCTCAGATTATGATCTCGTGGTTCGTGGGTTCAGGCCCCACGTTGGTCTCCGTGCTGACAGCTCAGAGCCTGGAGCCTGCCTTCGGATTCTGTGTCTCCTGTTTCTGCCCCTCCCCCACTCGCACTCTGTCTCTCTGTCTCTCTCTGGCGCTCCAAAACTAAACATTAAAAAAAAAAATACCCCCATATGTAGTTCTACCATTTAGGTTATCATTCTGCAGTAAACTCAAAAGTTCTCAGTCACTTTGTTGAAGCAAACGTTGTGGCTAAATATTTAAGAGTTTCTCAAGTGTGGTGGGTTTGGATTTGAGCTGGCACGGAGCCTCCCTGGCTCAGGAAATTGAACGATTTCTCCAATTGTGTGCCAGAGACCGGTTTAGGGCTGTGGTTTTCTGATTCCCTGAATATTGCTGTTTCTACTCCGCTATGTTGTAGGGAGCCATGTGTTTAAAAAAAAAAAAAAAAAAAAAATTGTGATCCTAGAGCATTTGATCCCAGGATAATTTTAAAATTTGCTGTGCAACCCCAGAGCATCAAAAACATTTGATGTGTCATGTAAGTCAGGGGTCATAAACTGTGGCCCGTGGGCCAAATCCAGTCTGCCACTGTTTTTCTATGCAAAGTTTACTGGCATGGTCACACCCCTTCATTTCTGTCTGTCTGTGTGCACAAGATCAGAAGAAGTGGTCGCAACAGAGATCGATGGCCTGCAAAGCCCAAGATACTTATTATCTGGACCTTTATAGAAAACGTTTGCTGACCCCAAGTTTAAGGGGAAGATGAAAAAATAAGGAGCTTAAAAAATGAACACTGTCAATTTGCAAAAAAGAATTGTGAGTAAAATACACTTTCTGAAGAAGCCGGAAAGTTAGCATGTTGTCGAGAGGTGGGGATGACCTGTCATTAAAGACCAGGGTGGCTCAGTTGGTTGAGTGTCAGATTTCGGCTCAGGTCATGATCTCATGGTTCATGGGTTTGAGCCCCCGTGGGAATCTGTGCTGGCAGCTCAGAGGCTGGAGCCTCTTTTCGATTCTGTGTCTCCCTCTCTCCCAGCCCCTCCCCTGCTCCTGCTCTGTCTCTCTTTCTCTCTCAAAAATGAATAAGTATTTAAATAAACAAACAAATAAATAAAGGAGAACTAGGTTTTTAGAGAATCTGAGAGCAGGGGCTCTCGTTGGCGGCACGAAGCGTGTGACTTGACCCGAGTTGGCTCAGGATGGGAAACGCTTCAGACTGTCGCCGATGCCGCGCTAACCATGGTGGATCTTGAGCGCTCACCAAATGCCCTTCTTCTTGGCAGGTGGAGTGGATCCAACAGCAAGTGGTAAAAAGACGGACCAAGAGGGATTATGACTTCAGCCGTGCGCAGCCTACTTACTTCAACGATCCCAAGTGGCCGAGCATGTGGTATATGGTGAGGAAGCCTGGCCCGGGGCCGTGTGGTACGGGGGACTTCTGTGGGGTCTGGGGATACACGGAGGCAGTGGCCAGGGATGCTTTTGCCGTCTCAGGAGACCCACCACATGAGTTTTCTTGACAGCTTGTGATGTTTTCTGGATCTTTGTTGGAACTTAGCTCTTTGGTTCTAAGGCAAAAAAAGAAGGGAGTTTGCATTCGCAGGATTTCGGCTTGAGAGCTTACTCTGTGTAGCTTTCTGAATCTGGGCCAGGGGATAGAAAACTACACTGAGGAGCAGACAGACCCCCTCAGACCCATCAGGGATCGTGTTTGTCTCTGATACGTGTTTCCTCCACCTTGAAACCAGTCTGGGTAATGGATAATGGCTCTTGGAAATCCTTGAAATGACCCCGCTGGTAAGTGACAGATTCCTGGCTTAAGTCCTCTGATATGTGCTTGCTCACTTTAGGTAATAGTTTTTAAATGCGAGGGAAAATCATTTTTTAAACTAGGGGAAACACTGGCTGGAAAGTATGTGATTTGTAGCTAGTTCAGTGGTTCAGAGAGGGAAATTTACGTGAGTGTTGAGAAGAGCCGTGCACCTGTTCACTTGACATTGCCTCCTTTGGAAATATATTTATTTCTCAATGGGGCGCCTGGGTGGCTCAGTCAGTTAAGTACCCGACTCTTTGATTTTGGCTCAGGTCAAGATCTCACAGTTCATGGGTTGGAGTCCCGCATTGGGCTCTGCACTGACAGCACGGAGCCTGCTTGGGGGTCTCTCTCTCCCACACTCTGCCCCTCCCCTGCTCACACGCATGCACGCTCCCGTGCTCTCTTTCTCTCAAAATAAATAAATTAACTGTAAAAAAAAAAAAATATCTGTTTCCCTAGTCTTAGGGTTTTAGGTTTGTGATCACTGAGAAATCCGTGACTTAGTCTTACTCGTGAAATCCCCATGTCCCCAATTTGCTCTATAATCTACAAAGAGACCTTTACTTTGCTATTTTTTTGAAAGTCGTCATTGCTGGTTATTACAAGGGTATTTCCTTTAATCTCCTTTATTTTATTTTATTTTTTTTTGCAGTCCTGTCCCTGCTTCTCTGCAAACCCATAGCGTTTTGCGGGCTGTCTCATGCTTTCCTGCCTCCGTGCCTTTCATGCTTTCCATGCAGCTGCTCTTCCTGCCCTTTGCCATGGACTTATGTGGGGACTCACCCCTTCTTCAGGGGCCACGCCTTAGGTGACTGCTCCCAGTCCCCCTTGTCCTCATCTGTCCCCTCTTTCCTTCCTCCGCTCTCCTGGGCCCTCTGTCTCTACAGCGCATGGTACCTTTCCCTTGGCACTGGATTTCGTTGCTGTCAATATTTTAATTGTACTCTTGTTACGCTGGGATAGGGGTGGGGGTCACTTCTACCCCCCGGAAGACCTGGCCTCCTAGCACCTCGCAATGCCAGGAATTTGTGCTTATTTTGAGATGGGCGAAAGTGGCTGGCTTTTCTCCCAATTTCGTTTCTCTCCATCTCACCCAGAAGTGGAGGGTGGCAGAAGTGTTTTGGAACCCCAGAGAGAATTTTACATAGAAACTCTTTCAGGCAGAAAAGAAAAAAAAAAAAAAAAAAAAAAAGGAACCCTAACGCTAAGTTCAAAGGGAGGTTGGACTCGAAACAGCATTTGAGGGGCACCTGGTAGCTCAGTCGGTTAAGTGTCCAACTTCGGCTCAGCTCATGATCTCTGGGTTCGAGCCCCGCCTCAGGCTGTGCTGACAGCCAGCTCAGAGCCTGGACCCTGTTTCAGATTCTGTGTCTCCCTCACCTCTCTCTGACCCTGCCCTGCTCACACTGTCTTTCTCTCTCTCTCTCAGAAATAAATAAAACATTAAAAAAAATTAAAAATAAAAAAAGAAACAACATCTGAGTAGAAATCATCTGAAGGGACACAGGGACACTTGACATCTTGTTAGCTCCAGGACCAAGGAAGAGTGAGGCACCTGGGAAGGCATTAGCACCTTGGCCAGCCTGGGGACTCCAAGGCTTCAGTACCTACAGAGCAAGATCTCTTCATCCCCAAGAAGCATTGCTCTTTCTTTGGAAATTCCCTTTTCACATGAGGAGAGGTTGAGGGAAGAGCTTTTGTGTGCGCATTTAAATGTTGGTTGTGTTTGATAATTCAAAGATGTAACACTTTATGGAGCACTTACTGTGTGGCAGGCAATGTGTGAAATACTTTGTAAGGTTGTGTGAACAAATGTGTGTGTGCGCGCGCGCGCGTGTGTGTGTGTGAATATTGGCCCTGTTTTAAGAGCGAGGAATCTTCTGTGGCTCCTGAATTTAGACAGCTTGTCTCAAATCACCCAGCCTGGGGCACCTGGAGGGCTCAGTCAGTTGAGCATCTTACCTTGGCTCGGGTCGTAATCTTGTGGTCCATGGGTTTGAGCCCCACGTCCGGCTCTGTGCTGATAGCTCAGAGCCTGAAACCTGCTTTGGATTCTGTGTCTCCCTCTCTCTCTGCCCCTCCCCTGCTCGTGGTCAGTCTTTGTTTCTCTCGAAAAATAAATAAACATTAAAATCACCCAGCCTGAACGCGGTAGAGCAACGCTGTCAAACCAGGCAGGTTGATAAGAGTCTGCAGGACTGACCCCGTATCCTGACCCTACTCTTCTGCTATTTACAAGCACTAAGATGCTACTCCAGGAACCTCTATCCATAGAGAAATGACTAAAATTCAAGACAGAATGGTGGGTGCCTTGGAAGATGAACGAGTTTCAAAGCTTCCTATTAAATAGTTCCTTTTCCCTTAACAAAAGGGATGGGAAAGAGGTTACGTACCTTTATCTGTCTGGAGTAACATGACAGAATGAGAGCTAGAACTTCAGATCTGCCAGCCTCGGTGCAGACCCCCATTGCTTCACTTTCTGTACCCGTGAGTTACCTCTAACTCTCCTCAACCATAACATAAAAGTATCTGGTTCTTCTGTATGAGTTAGCTATTGCTGCATAACAAATCACAGAACTTAATTTTTCAAACAGTCAGCTCATGGGTTCTGTGGATCAGGCCTTCAGACAGGCCCCGACAGTGATGACTTTTCTTTCTGTGGTGTCTGGGACTTCAGTTGGATGACTTGGAGTCTTGGCTAGAGCTGGAAGATTCAATTGCAAGTGGCCTCGTTATTGGCCTCTTCCTGTGGTGAGGACTTCTTGAGTGTCGACTCGTGATGGTGCTGGCTTCCCCCAGGGCAGATAATCCAGGAAATCATGTCAGCAGTCGTGATGTCTTTTATCATCTAAACTCTGAAGTCACAGACCATTTCTTCTGGAGTTTTCTGTCGGTCACATGTGCCAGCTCTGGTTTCGCGTGTGAGAGGACTGTATGGTGAGCATGTACATGCTAGGAGGCGAGGATCATTTGGGAAGCTGGTTGCCACAATTAAATGAAGTACTGCATGAGAAGCCTTTAGCGCAATGCCTTTTCTGACCCTAGAAAACCCTTAATAAATCTTTACTGTTATTATTCTCTGACTTTTTAATTGCTGTGAAACAGAAATACATGCTATTTCCTTTTGTCTGTTATTTAAACCGCTGCTAGTCAAGGAAGGGGGAGGGGAATCACATGTTCAGTGCATGCTTTTCAGAGCCTTCTGGTGACACATCGGTGACCCGGTGACCCGGTTGAGGCAAGGTGCTGATTTCCTTCTTCCTCTCTCTGAACCCTGGGCCCTGCTGGAGTGTTTCTGAGGGCTGCTTGGCGAGCCTCCATAGGGTCCTGCCTTTGGCTCGTTAGCCTGGGCCCCGGCCTGTCATTCTATATTTATCACAGGAGAGTGGAGATTAAAGAATGGCGTGAAGTGTGCCTGACTGTCTCTTTTAATTAATTTAGAAGCTTTGCCCGTGTAGCTCCTCCCCTTGGAAACTGGTTGTGAAACCATTATGTCTAGCCTGGAAGCTTGGGCAGTATATCCGGGGAATTCTACATCTACAGGAGCTGGTTACGGAGATGACGGCCGTGTAATTACTCCTCTGTTGTGAAACACTGTGCTCAGGCTTCCAGGAGTGGGGAGGGTGCAATCCTCAAAACAGCACTCCCTTCTTGTTGTGTGGACAGACGTCTCCTGTACCTGCTCTTCGCTGGGCCAAGGCGGCGGGCACTGGGGATTGAGGGAAACATGATTCGCGCTTCCTAAGAAGATCAGTCAAGCAGTACGGGAATGTATAAGCACCAATGAAAGTTTGCCGGACAAAGGGTTCCTTCTAGGAGTTTCTCTGGGAGCGTGTACATACATCTAGCCTCTGCTCTTGGGTTTTAGGCTGTAATTCCCGCTTGCAGGCCTGTTTCTTCCATTGGAAGAAACTGAAAGCCCCTGAGTGGCTTTTAGAAAACCTATCCAAGGGGCGCCTGGGGGGGTTCAGTCGTCTGAGTGTCCAATTTCAGCTCAGGTCAGAATCTCACAGTTCATGAGTTGAAGCCCCGCATGGGGCTCTGTGCTTACAGCTCGGAGCCTGCAGCCTCCTTCAGATTCTGTGTCTCCCTCTCTTTCTGCCCCTCCCCACTTGGGCTCTGTCTTTCTATCTCTCTCTGAAAAATAAGTAAACAAACAATTAAAAAAATAAAAATAAAAACCTATCCAAGCTTGGGGCCCCCATTAGAGATTCTTTATGTTTTGAGGAGTGTGGCTTGAGTGGGGGGTGGGGAGGATTTTATCAGCACTCACTGGGTGATTCTAATATGCAGTCAGGACTGGACTGAGAAGTGCGCCATCGAGGTGGGAATCCTGTGTCACTCATTGCCTGAGTCCAGTAGGTAATAAATGCTCAATAAACGCTAATCAAATGAACAGTTGAGTAATCTGAAACAAAAGCAAGTCTTTGACAATCTCCATGGTAGGGAAAATAATTGCTCATGTTTGAGTGCTTACTATATGGGAAGCACGCTGCTGAACTTTCACATGTATTATTTTCATGCCAGTTTCCCTGTGACTTAGGACCTATTATTATCTTCATTTTACAGACGAGGAACTTAAAGAATAGATGGATTAAGGAACTTGTCCAAAGTCTCACTGTGTATCAGGGTCAAGCCCTGGGATTTAAACCCAGTCGCTCTGAGCCCAGAGGCTGGACTTCCAACCTTGATGCCCATGGTTCTCAAACTAGCTGGTGTCAGAATCACGCTGTAGAATTCCTGTCTACACCTCCCGCAGCCCCCAGCCAAGATCTGGGAATTTGCATTGATTTCTAATAGGATCCCAATCTGTGCTGATGTTAGGGTCCCAGGACCCTTCTGAGACCTCTTTGCTTTCCCCTCTCGCAAACGAGAGGTTTATATGAATACAGCCAGCTTCCATTTTCCCACGATCGGCTGGGGTAAGAAGGGATTTTGAAACTTAGGGGACATTTTAAACCACGCGTGATCCATTTAACTTGTTTTTCTTGATCTTCTACCTTTTGGTTACCACATTTTCTATTTGGGAAGCTGGCAGCTTTAATACAAAAGATATTTTTACTTTACTTACACTGATTGAAAATAGGCTTGGCTCGTATATTCTGTCAAGATGCTCCACAAACCGAGGTTATCTGACAGGAACGGTCACAAAGATTTGGCCAAGTTTATGGGAATTCCGTATGCTAGAAATGGTTTTCATGTACCCATCTGGTATAATGGATACACTGACCCTACTAAAGAAAATTCAGCCTGAGTCTAGAGACAGAGAAGCTGAGTAAGGTGCCTCTCAAGGGTCTGGAAAGGCCAATCGAACAAATTCAGGGGGTTAAATATTTTTTACGTTATTGTAAAATATTTCAGGTATAGAGATACTTTTAAGAATACCACAAACACCTGTCCACCCGCCCCCAGATGAAGGAATAGTACAGGATACAGTTGAAGCCCCTTGTGGGCTGTGTCCTTACAGCATCCTCCCTCCCTACAGAGTTAACACAGATGCTGAATTCGAAATGCAGGGGGGAGGCTCCTTTGTTGATAGATACCTCTCTTTGTGGGAGGGGTCTTCAGTGTGCAGGAGCTTAACGATTTTTGAAATCATCATAAAACACACATCCGTGGATGGAATTTGACACTTGGGCTATTGACGAACAGTCCCAAGAAGACCACGTGGAAATGAAAGTTGGGTGAAAACCTAAGTTTGATAGAAAAGGTTTCATTCCTTTTATTCCTTTAGTCATGTAAATCTTTTTTTTTTTTAAAAGAAATTGATGTAGCATTGTATAATATCTCTTATCTGACTGTTAAGAACTAAAAATATACTTTGAAAGAAAAAAGTACTAGTAATGATTTCGGACAAGCCCGTAGTTAATAACTTAATTTTTTTCCCCTCTTGCTGTAGAGAAGGCAAGCACAGTTGAAAAGAGAAAAGTAAAGAGGGCTTATGAAATCCTGCTATTTGATTGTCAGACGCTAGTAGTTCGTATGACTGATACTCCGAATTTGTCATCGTAGTTAGTACAGTGGAAATTTCTGTGATGCATATAGGGTGGCCTATTTAATATGCATTTTTCAGGCCAGGCTCTCATAAATGGGCTCACTTTTTTTGATGTACTACCTCAAGATTTCATGAAAGCTCTCTGGGTGGCTTTTCTGAGGGGAAAAAATTATATTTGTCGATCAGCAGAGGGAAAATTAGCTGAGTTCAACTCTGCATGCGGGGTGTATCTGCCAAAAACGATGAACTAGCTAGGATAGTAATTGTGAAAAATGATTTGAAGCCACATGGTCCTTTCTCAGCCAACTGGATGGTGGTCAGTACTCCCAGAATTTGAGACATTGCTGTTTCTGTGGTTGGCACACATTTTCCCAATGATTTATACTGTCATTTGACTCTAATAAAATCTGGTGGAGTTTGTGGCATGATTGTCCTGGCAGCTTGGAAACCATCCTTTTAAAACACCCCATTTAGCTGGTTTAATTGAAAATGCAACATGGTGCAAATCTGCAAGCATGTGGCACATCTTGAAGCAAACAGGAGGTCTTCTGGGGAAGGGCAGACTCCGGCCAAGCAACAAATGATGGCTTGGAAGGAACGAGGAGGGCCTTAGACATGATTTTGGTGTTCTAGTATTGACTTTGAACTACCTCTGTGTCCCGTAGAAAGGTGTTTTAGATCAACCGTAGCCCATGTGAAAAAATGAGAAATCTGGACTAGATACATTTTCGTAAGTTCATTCCTGCGTAACGCCCTCTAGCTCCAGATGGCAAATTCAACTGGATACTGGGGCAGAGGAGACCACACACCACTGATGGGCCTGTGTCTTAGTCTCCAGCTCAGCCCTATCCCGCGAGCTCCCCACCGTTAACGTACCATGCTTTTGTTTCATTACTGCTTCAGATTCACTATGTCTCCTGTGTTGGGGGTCCCCAAGACCACCCCAGGTTTGGTGATTCATGAGAAAGACTCACATGATTCAGCATATAGTCACACTCGGGGCTATAATTGATTGCAGTGAAAGGATACAACACAGAATCAGCAAAAAGAAATGCCACATGGAGCAAAGTCCAAAGGAAATGAAGCTTAAACATCCAAGAGACTTATGTCCGTGGAGTCATACAGAAAGCACTTAATACCTCCAGCAGTGACTCGTGACAACATGTGTGAGACGTTGCCTACCAAGGAAACTCATTAGGGACTCGGTGCTCTGGGGTTTTATTGGGGATGGTTGTATAGATACCCAGTGCCTACCGTGTACCCAAATTCCCTACTCTCGGAAGATATTTAGCATAGACTGGATTGTTCGCGTAGCGCTTAGGCACAGTGCACCATTTTGATGAAGGAATGGTAGGACTTTGCCCAACTCCAAGTTTGCAGATGTCAGCCAAGGGTATTTATGGGGGCTAAACACAAACATGGCTGGGTTGGAGTAATGGCTCCAGCTTTATTAAAATGTTGTGTTCTCGAAACAAGTTAACGCTGAGGAAAAATATAAGTGGTTCCTCCCCCCCCAAAAAAAAAATAAAAGCAAACTAAATCCCAAGTATTGTCCATATTTGTTTTACAGACTGGAAAAGCCAGCTGAGTCAGCTTGTTAGGCATTTGGTCGTTCATTCATTCATTCATTCATTCATTCATGTTTAGCAGAGATTTGCTTTTTTCCCAGCACTTAACAGTGTTTCAGACACCAAGGATGTAATAGTAAGGAAGTCGACCCCAGTGCCTTCTTTAATGAAGAGCAAGTAAGCATTTATGGGTAGAAGTTTGAGTGATTTTACTTTGCTTAATCAATTGATGGTATTCTGCTGATGGTGCCATAGCAGAAGCCTATTTGGAACTTACTTATTATCATGATGGTTCTGATGATTTCATAGGATTTCACGGTCCCCCACGATGCTTGTGATGGAAGTCAGTATGTGAGGAATATTAAATTAAGCTATAATTACCTAGTCAAAATGCTCCTAGAAGAGCCCAGTAATTGATGACCCACTTGAAAAAAAATCACTTCAGATATTATTTATTCTTGCTAGGTTCAAATTATTATAATCTTTATGAATTTCTTTGAGCAAGATGGAACTGAATCCATCTGGGTAGTTTATCTTTTCAGCTTTACTTTCAAAGACTAAAAATACGTGGGTCGTCTGGTCCTTTGGGCCCCACTCTAAGGTGGAGGAGGGTCTGTTAACAGAAACAAAGTTGTGTTTGTCCAGATTTTAGTCAAACCTTTTCTTTAATGACTAGCTCATGTTCTCTTAGAGAACAGATAGCACGGACCTCTAAACTCAATCTGTAGCTGTCTCCTTAATGTGTTGAAGACAAGTTCTTTTATCAAACGGTTCCTCTGAAATCCTCCTCATTTACTTTTCACGCTGAGTTAAGGCGAGTTCCAGTGATTAAAGCACACTCCTGGCTCACGTTACCATCTCTCTGCCAGTAAGTAGGATTTCCTCTGTACGCACTCACGAAATGTCGATCGAAAATGAGGAGAGGGTCAGTTGCTGAGGCTTCCGCTGAAATTTTCCAAATTCACGGAACAGAGTTGGCTCACTCTACGAGATGATGATGCCTTCAAATGTCCTGTGTTGAGAATTCAAAGCTACAATTATCTGAGGCATCTGGAATGCTATTTTTCCTTGATTCTGGTTAGCAGTGAACTTGGCTGGAAGTGAGTAGAGTCAAAGAAATCATTTTTAGCATTGCAGTGATGGGAAGAATCAAAACACCCAAGCTGCCTGGGGAAGAGGAAGTCCTAACCGTCTTCAAATAGAACGCACATGCACATCAATGTGATTTTTCCAGTTTCTCAAGTGTAAAAAAATCCTTGGTATACTCGCTCAGCCCAGAGATGGGATTCGAGGCTAGCAGTGGATAATCCGATATGCAAATAATACACGCTGAGAGGCTTTCTGCCCAACAGAGGAAGCCAAATTATGGTGAGAGAAGTAGACTGAAACTAGAAATGCAGAAAGAGGATTTGATTACTTAATTGCATAGGTCAGAATCCAAATTGGGTTATACTGTGAAGACGCTCTTCGTGATGGAAGAGGATTAGGACAAAGTAAAGATTGCATTCGTTTGATTATTCTTTGCTTGACTAAGAAGACAAAAGACTTCTTTCTTTATGCTAAGGCAGAAAAAAAAAGCATGGGTGGTGTCTATTCAAATATTTAGTACAAGATTTACAGAATAGTCTTAAAGACTACTTGGAAGTTTTGGGTTTTTTTTCCTTTGGTCTGTCTTTTTTCATTTCATGTTGAGTCGAATCTGGACCCTTTTAAAAACCTATTGGGATGGGAGTTCTGATTCCTCCAGACTAAATTAGCATGTCTGACATAAAGAAAATTACGCCCAGGTAGCATAGGACTGTGTTCTTTTAATGATCCCTTTGCATGGTTTCCTCAAACCTAGTTAAATTGATGTTTTAAAGCTTGATGTTTGGGTGTGTTACCTAGTGATAGAGAAACCATTTTGAGTTTTCAGTGAACTAAAAGAAATTCACTGGGACTCTCAGCAGCAGTAAGTTAAGCATAGCGGGACTACGTAAATTTGTTTTCAGATCATTCCTGTCCCGCTGAAATGTTTTATTGGCCTGTTCTCATTTTTCTTCCACGCCTGTGCTCTGAATCCCAGGCCCCCTGCTTCACATCCATGCATGCTACACACACAAGCACACGGAAACCGACGCTGTGCATGTTTTTGCAATTAGTACCCTGAATCAGGTGGTCTTTAAGATACGGAAAAAAGAGTTGACAGACCACCACATGGGAATGGGTCTGAAAAATAACTTAATGTAAGCCCTCAGCTCATGTTTAGTACCCACTTTGTATATTTTTACTAATCAGCAGTGTGCTCTCCTCAGCCCTTTCTTGCCGTAATGAACAATTCAGTTCAAAAACGCTTCCTCGTACTTGATCAGAAGCTTATGTCCCTGTCACTTTACGCACTCCTAAATTCCAGGTCTAAACTCCAAGTTGAGGACCACACCTGATCGCTATTTCTCCAGCTTTCGCTGCAAACATTACACACACTTCTTTGGAAATGAAAGCAAAAGCAGAGAGAATAGTGCAATGAACACCACATCTTCCTCTCTGGCTTCAGTAATGATCATCTCAAGGTCAAGCTTCATTCGTTTATTGCCCCCTCTACTTGATTATCTTAAAGCAGTTTACACACTTCACTTTATCCCATCCCTAAATATTACACTATGTATCTCTTTAGGATAAGAACCATTTTTCCCCCACAATAAAATCATAATATAATTATCCCTTGTAAAAAATGAATGATAATGTCTTTATATTTTCAGCTGCCCAGTTTTCAGATTTTCCCTGTTGTCTCCTGATATTTTTTTCTTTGTAATTGTTAGGCCCTTTGGTTACTGGTGAGGGTTTGCAAAATAGTCGTCATCTCTTCCCGTGAATCCTTCTTCATTCATTGTCTGGAATGCTTTAATAAAGAGGGACTTTTCATCAATTATTTGGTACAACGAGATACATAGGCTACCATTCTTGCATTTTATTAGAGGTTACTTTCCTCACATTCACCGAAAGCTATTAGGGAGGTTTTTTTTTTTAAGTTTCATTACAAAATTAGGGGTTTACATAGATTTGATGTGTTTTATTTCATTGGCATTGTTGCTCAAGGTACCCCATCTTTGGTCAGTGAGAGCCCATTCATACTGGCTCCGAGGTCCTTTTGACATGACCCTAATATTCTTTTTTTAATCTTTTGGCGGTATGTCAGGCTGTTCCATATTCTTCTTGGATATTTCTTGTTCCAGACACAGAATCAAGCCATTTCTCCAAAGACCCCTTGTTCCTCGTTTTTGTAAAAGAAAAAAAAAATTGATAGAGACCCCCAGTACAAGTGCTAAGATTCTCACCATTACTGGATTAGTCTTTTGGCCTTTTTAGTTAGCAGAGTTACAAATGTGCATTTTTATGTGTGTTACCATGAGTTTATACAGATGTGTCCAACTTGAAAGCAGTTCTACAGCTTACGTATCCTCCTCAGTCTTATATCTGTATCTTTTCTCATGCGGAGAATTCTGTTCTCAGCGACACCAACCAAAGTCCCCACTGCTTTACGTCAGTTCTTCTATCGTAATTGTTTTTTTTTTTTATTGACATGTTTTAGTTTATTTCATATTTGGCACTGTCATTGGAAGGATAGAAAAATATCACAAAGACCTGCGTTTCTTTAGCTTGTACGGACAATGGATGGAGAGGGGCAAAATTATCTGTTCTAACAACCTGATGCCTGGAAATTAATACTCTATTTTGAAGGGGTGAAATGAACTTCACTAGGTCTATGCGCAATAGCATATAATTATTTCCCCTAATGTGCCTTCTTTAAAAAGAGTATATTAAACTTGCCATTCTTTATTAGTTTGAAAGATAAAGTAAAACAGGACTTAGAAAACATTTCTAATTGTAGAAGTTTGTCCAGGGAAATGAAAGATTAAAGAGATCCGTAGTGATCAGACCTGAATCCGTCTGGACAAGTAAAAGGGAATGTGCAATGAACAAATCATTTAAACTGGTTGTATACACTAATGAGCATTGAATTAATTCTATCCTCTCAGGACTGAGAACTAGGAGCGACTACAGATTGCTCAATAAAGGCATTAATTCAATGTGTAAGAGAAGGGAAAATGAAGAAAAGCAGCAAGGAAAATAATTCCCCCAGAAAAAAGTAAATTGGTAATGATTTTATTCATTCAACATTTATTAAGTCTCTTCTATGTATCAGACATAATTCAGCCTGCTGCACATACAAATATGAAAAGCTTGTGTGCTCCACTCAGTAGCTAGGTCATGGGCACGTTGGGAAATCACTAACTTTCTCCACTACTAGTATAGTACAGGCATGCACACAAATACCGTGGAGCCCTGCAAGTACATTTAAACTTTTTGATATTAAGTTAAAATCTTTTATTTGATTGCCTGGACCTCAAATTTCTAATGTGGAAATTAAGTGATGGTACATGGTACAATTTCTTTTTCAGGCAAATGAATGATTTCCACAGTCGTTAATTAACCAAGGTTACTTCCGATGAAACTCTACTTCTAAGGATTGCTGATAGATAGCTCCAAAGTCAAGTGGTTTGGGACCTACTGGCTTGAACAAACGTAAAATGTTTCTTTACTGCAGGACTTCTCAGCACCTTGAGTATTCTAATCTGCTTTGTGAATTGATAACAGAGGGATAAAACTATAAATAACTAGTTGTTTATTTGCCCAAGGGAAAATAATATATGTATATGTGTATATATGTATTTTTTAATGTAGGCTACTTGCCCAGCACAGAGCCCAACTGCAGGGCTTGAACTCCTCACCCTGAGATCAAGACCTGAGCTGAGATCCAGAGTTGGACACTCAACTGACACCCCAGCCAGATGCCCCAAGAAAATATATCTTTAATGAAATGTTTGAGTTGGGATTGAGTTGTAAGTTATCAGAAAAGTCCGTCCAAACTGGGGGAAGGAAAAGTAAACGAAGAGAGGGAGTTGACTGGCTCATTAACTGTAGCCTGGCACACCTCTGTCGATCCAGGAAGTACAGCAGCTCTCTAGGACCCAGTTCTTCCCCCCCACTCAGCGCAGCTCTGATCTCTCCAACTGTCGGCTTCTGTCTCCGCCAAGCTTTACACTCATAGCTACAAGACAGCCGTCAGTAACTTCTAGTTCAAATTGGATGGCAACAAGAAGAGCCTTTGCTTGGTGGAAATTCTGAGAAAAGTCCTAGGGACTACACGCCTTCTCGTCCATCACTCCTCCTCTCCTTCCGTATTCTGTTCATGTTTTCTGACCAGTGGCCTTGTCTGCCTCCTTGGACATCTTTGGGGCAAAGTGACTTAGAAGGAGCGCGGAGACTGAATAGCAAGAGTAGCAGAAATGTGAGGCTCTGGGAAGGAGGTCTCTCCGCCCTGACAGAAATCTGGGGGCATGGGTGGCCACCCTTGTCAGGCACGTCCCATGGGCAAGTGAAGGCAACTGTTGACGCAAAGCCTTCACCAGACAGCTGTAATGAAGAGACAACTGCCTCCGCGAAGGCCCCGTGACGGAGGGCAGTGGGTGGTCTGGGGGGGCCACTGGCATGGTTTCCTCTGGGCTCCTGGTGCTCCCAGACGCCAGCTGCCTCTCTCTGGATCAACCTGAAGTCTGTCATCGTGGCATGGACTCTTTGCTTTGTGCCCTTTGGGACTTAACTGTTTGATACGTTAAAAAAAAAATCATGAATTGTGTCTGTAGTATTTTCTCCCCACTGGTTCATTTTGATATTTTTGAAAATCCACAGATAAGTCGAAAGACTTGTAGGAATGCGTACATTTCATTCACTTGAGTTTACCAAAAGTTAGTATTTTCTCTCTCTTTACACATGCGCACACACACATACACATTTTTCTGAATTTTGAAAGTTGCAGACATTGTAAAAACATACCCCTTAATATGTCAGGATGCCTCTGCTAAGACTACTTTCCCATATAAGCAAAATGTCATTCTCAATTCTAGGAAAGTGATCTTATCCAGTTTACTATCTTCAGATCTCCCCAGTGGCCACAAAAAATTTTTTTGTGGATCTATTCCTTTTGATCATCATGCAGAATCCTATGTTGCCTTTATTCAATCCATCTCTTTATTTCCCTTAATCTGGAAGATTCCCTCTACCTTCACTGGGCTTGAGGACTGGTCTTTCGTATTGATGGTTTGGATGAGTCTGGGTTGGTGGTTGTGGAATAAATCACACCTGGCATTTGTCTGATGGCTTTTTTTTCAGGACTGTAGGAAGGAT